AGGGGGGGGGGGGGGGGGGGGGTGAAGTCGCCCCCTTGGCCGCGCCCCTCCCCTTGCCCCTTGACGATCGGCTCATCGGTTCTATTGAGGGTTGAAAAAACCCGCCACTCTCAATCAACTTGATCTTAGTAGTCGTCTGTCCGAACTTTCCTGGGCATAAAACCATCCTACTCATGACAGAGGGAGACACTGGATAGAGAGATCGGAACGGTTTTAATTTGAAGAAAACAACAACAACTCCACGGAACTAGTGCTCGTCACATCACCTGCAGAAGTGGGGGGTGTCCTGGTGTAGCGGCGAGTGCAAGTAGACCATGAGGAACTTGTGCTGCCGCGCGGCTTCCTGCACAGCCTCGCGGTACGATTCCGCCAAGAACATCGGTCTCCGCTCCTGCCCGTACTGCCGTTTCACATTATTGGTTGGGGGTGAGTGTTTCGGTTGCTCGTGTGCGTCTTCGTGTGTGCCATGTAACTGCCCTTGGGAAATTGCTTTCTTGGGGTTCGTGACTGCTGTGGTGGCGTCCACTACGAAAATGCTTGTACGGGACAGCTACACCAGAGAATGCACTTGCGTAGTTCACGAAAAGAGAAGGATGGGTTCGTGTTGATAATGCATGCATGTGCTTCCCGTTCCACGAAAGCAAAGGACAAACGGAGAGAGAGAGAGAGAGAGAGAGAGAGAGAGAGAGAGAGGGAGAGAGAGAGGGGGAGAGAGAGAGACAGAGAGAGTTATAGGGTCATCATGGAAGAACGCCAGCATTCTGTTCGCACGTTCACCCCACCACTTTCATCTTTTTCGTTCGAGGAAGGGAACGCGCATCAATTCCGCCTCCCATGTTAAAAAGCCACCGGGAGGCCTGCATCACAACCCTGTTGTCCTATCGCCCGCAACTGCGAGCAACAAACAGGCAGGGGGCAGTCCAAAACGAGAAGCCAGACAGTCACGTAGAAAAAAAACAGTTAAATTTACCGGCAAAAAAAAAGGTCGGCGTGCCGTACCTCTGCCTCGAACTGATTCACGAACCGCCGCGCCGCCGCGCCGCCGTCCTTGGGTTGGTCCTCCACTCCCAGCACGTAGTTTATCGGGGACAGGACGTACGATATCACCTGGGGGCGCGCATCATCGCGCAAACATT